TCCTCCTCCTCCTCCTCCCTCCCCGTCGCCCACATCCTCCCCCTCCTCCGATTCCTCCTCCATATTTCCCTCTTGTGGTATGCCTCATGGCATCCTCCGTCCTGTGTTTCTCTGTGTGCTTCCACACTCCCCTGATCAAGGCAACTCGTCTGAACACCGTTGCTGGAAGGCTGACCGTCAAATCCCGATAGTGGGTACTCTTCGCTAGAGTGGCTGTTCAAGGATGGGCTGGTGGGGGATTCGCGAAGCGTCACGAGTTATCCAACTCTCCAGGCCAGCCCCCCCCCCCCGAGCGACCCCCTCATGGACAGATGGAATTCGCCAGCGGCCACCGCAAGCAAGATGGGATCGACGCCACAAAACCTGGGACATCCTTCCTGGAGCCCGGTCGGCCGCAGAGGGGCACAACACCCGGAGAGCTCCAGGTGGTCCCCGCGGGGTTCCGCCGAGCGGTCTGGAAAGTTCTGTGCGAGCGAGCCCGGAGGGCTTCTGGAAGGTGCAGGGGGCGGTTCCCTTGTCCAGCACCAAGCTATGCTGTAGATCGTGGTCTGAACGATATCGTTTTTTGCGTCGTGCCGTCGCGGCCGCCAGCAAACTTCTCAAGGAACTGAACAAAGAGAGAACTCCCATAAATTGTTCGCGTGTGCACCGCGCTGGTGGGCGAGGGCAGGTGCAGGGGGCGGAAGGGGGGAGTGGGAGGGGCGTCCTCTCTCGTCTCCAAGCCTCCCCGTCCCTCCCTCTCCCTTCCTCCTTCTCCGTCACTTCCTCTCCCTCCCCCCCTCCCTCCCTCCCCCTCCCCCTCCCTCTCTCTCTCCCTCTCCCTCTCTCGTCTCAGCGGCAGGCTTGAGCAACTTCTCGCTAGCGTGGTTCCAGTTCGCTGACCCGCGTCGTGCGTCTGACGCGCCTGACAAGAGGCGGGGCCGCCCGGCCCGCTCCAACGCTCCCCACCGAGGGGATAAGGGGTCCCCGCGAATTCGTTCTGGCATGGTGGAAGAGTTGGCGGTGGACAAACCTCCCTTTCGTAAACCTCCCCTTAGTGAAAACGGCCTGGGACCGAAACCGACGGACCAGGACCCGCAAAAAATGACGGCCGCGACGCCCTCTCGCGAACCGAAAACGGCCAATTCCTGAATCGACGCGTCAGGGTAGGAGGTCTATCCACCTCCGAAAGAGGGGACATGGAGGACAGGGGCCCTGACCTGAGAGGTTGTCACAAATTTTTGGCCCATGCGGCCTTCCCCATCCCCCAGAGGCCGTCAACAAAACTAATCGGGGATTGGAAGCGGGTCCTGGGGAAAAAAGCCCTGGGGTCTAGGACCCATTTCCCTCAGGATCCTTTTCCACTCAGATCCCTGCGCATGGCGACTCTAAGCCGCCCGCACTTGGGTCTCATCGGGCGCGCCGGCTCCGGGGTGGACGACGGACGCCTTGAGCTCCCGCTGCGCGCCGATCTCGCGGCCCTGCCGCTTCCGGCCGACGCGCGCGCGGGCGGGGCGAGCGAGCCGCGGCACGGACGCTGCGCAGTCGCGGCCGAGGACGGTGGGCATTCGATGGGGCACCACGGGGCACTGGCCTTCTGCGAAGGCTGCGCGGTACGATCGGCACGGAGGGGCCGGTTCCTGGGGGCGTCCTCTCTTTCTCGGGCTCCCGGGGCCATCCCTGGGCCGTGGGGCCCTGAGGCCATGGCACGAGCGAGAGACTGCCACGCCATAGCCGTGCTGACCGCGCGCTCAAAAACGCCGGCCGCAGGGGAGAAAAAGCTACGCGCAAAGATATACGAGAGCTGCGGCGGTCAGCTGGATTTCGGCTTTGACTCGGTTCGAATAGCACTTGAGGGGGGGGTAATTTTCGCCTGGGCCTCCTCAAAAGGGCGGCTCGACATGAGACGCCAGGCCACAACAATGTCTGGGGGTCCAGGACCCGTTTCCACTGGAATGCCTTTTCACTCATGCCAATTCAAGCAAGCCACAGGACACGGGGTACAGAAAGACCAGGGACTGAAAAAACACGAGGATTGTGAACCTGGGGGTCGAAGCGATTGGAAGAGCAGGTGGGGGAGGCACCTGGGGAAAACAACATGGGAGAGCAAGATGGAATGGACGGAACCATTTCCACATCCAAATCATCCAGGCGGTCGCGCGAACGCTCCAATCGTGGGTGCACCGCCGACGCTGGCTACCTCGCGAAACGCATCGCAACTTGTAGGTACAGTGGTGAAAGACTCGCCGTCGAAGCGCGCAGATTGGTGGGCGCGGGCAATATTCCCATCACTTCGCCGCGCAAAGAACGGGCAAACATCGCAACACGCGGACAAACTAGCAACGCCGCCCCGAAGGAGGGTCAAGTCGTGCGGCCGCGGCAAGCGCTGCGTGACCCAGCCTTGCCCCAACACGAATTCGGAAAGCGTCGTTGCGCTCGCTGGGATCCGCGCCCCTGCTCGGCATCGCGCCGCCCTCTGGCGAGTCGAGGCGGCGCAGACTTTGGCGCGCCGCGCAGATGGATGCGGACCGTCGCAAAAATGCGTCTCCTAGGGGGCGTCGCTAACCCCCCTGTAGGAGCCCTCCAGCAAGCTCCGAAGATGCACCCCTGGCGTCACAGGACACGACCATCCCACTGGTGCCTGGGCAACTCGAACCAGATGCCCCCTACGGGGGGCGCAAGCTCTCACATGCCACGGGCGTCTGGGGGTGCAGGCAGGAAAAGAGGTGTCACGAGCTGCGGCTCTGAGCCCCAAAGAAATCATCTTTCACATGTTATGTCGTGTGGGTTCGAGGCTTCGATCGAGCGAACCACATGCTGCGGCTCTCTGGAATCTGCAGGCGAGAGTTGCCGCTTGTTACTGTCTTCCCGGCAGCCCTCGAAAAGGCCGCCACACAGACAGCTGTGATGGCAGCGTGCGAAGATAACCGTACAGCATCGCTGCCAGAGACAGCCTAACATGTAGATGTCCATGCATGCTGGTCCACCTCAGCACAGCTACCGGCTCGTGCCAGCCAGCACATAGCTGCCAGCGCGCATTCGAACACCGTAGCGGGGACAAGTAAGCATGGGGGAGAAGGAGGTCTGTGCACAAGATGACGAGGAGGATGAAGAGAAGGTGTTGGCACCGTGAGATAGCGCTGCAATTGTCGGAGGAGGCGGAGGAGGCGGAGGATGACGAGCAGTAGCAGCAGTGCAGCAGCATAGGAGGTTGGAGGGGGTAAGGGCGGCGCTGCTCGTGCTGCTCCTCACTGCCCTCCTCGTTCTCTCCGCATCCTCCCTCTCCACCTCCTCCCCATCCGTACTTACAGCAACTCCCCATCTTGCTTTTCCCTCCCTCGTCCCCCATCGTCCCCCTGACTCCTCCCTCGCACTACATTATCTGCCTTATATGTCCTGTATATCCTGCCTTATCTCGCTCGCTCTCTCACTCTCTTGTTGTTTATTTATTTTCTTTGTGTTCTCTCTCTCTCTCTCTCTCTCCCGTTCTCTCCCGTTCTCTCCCGTTCTCTCTCTCTCTCTCTCGTTCTCTCTCTCTCTCTCTATTTATGTTTCCATCTCCACTTCATTCGTTCACGTTTCCGTCCTTCTACATCCTATGTACTCCCTCTTCGCTGGTCCCCCTTCCGTTATCGCCTCCGCACATTCCCCTCCCTCATCCTCCCCATCCGCCGCCGCCCTCCTCGTCATAAACTTCTGCACCGTCCTCGTCGTCGTCCTCTTCCCTCTCCTCAACAATTCAAAGTTTCCTCATTCCCTTCGTATTTCCGCCGCATGCTGTGGTATCTCTCGCTCTCTTGTTTCTCTCTGTCTCTCTGTCTCTCTCTCTCTATCTTTGTTGTTTGCGCTTATTTCTCTCTCTCTCTCTCGTCCCGTCGTTCTCTCTGAGTCTCCTCATCCTCATCCCCCGCAACTTCCTCCTGTTCACGCTCGTGAGGCAACTCGGCGCAGTCGTCCTCACAATTCCCTCCTGACCCCCCGTGCGGATCGGACCAGGCACGCGGAGCAGGGGAGAAGAGAGAGGACGCGAGAAGCGAGAAGGAGAGCAGCGGGGATGGAATGGGTGCTGTGGAACGGGAGGACAGTGGGGAGGAGAGGAGGGGAGGGGACTGGTAGAGAATGAGCGTGGAAGGGAGATTCAGTGTGTTTCTTTCGCCTCGGCAACACACGTGGAATTCGGCATGACTAATTTGGCCGCGGGGCCGAAGAAAGAACGACAAGAATGAACATACCGTAATTGATCGGTGAGCGGTGCACATACGATCTGGCGGGGGTCAATCCAGCATGCCGCTATATGGCTGTCACAAGGCTGGCGCCCCCCTACAGTGAATTAAATATACATCCTCTTCCTCCTCGGCCTCGTTCTCCTTCTCCCCCTTCCTCTCCTTCCTCATCCTCCTCCTCCTCCTTTTTCATCCTCCTCCTCCTCCTCCTCCTCCTCCTCATTGTCATTCCCTCGTTGATTCCATCTGCCCCTCCAACTCCGCTCTCCTCAATTCCTCCTCCTTGCTCCTGCACAGGATCCGACATAGCGAGCACAACGTCTGTACCATCTATCGCAGGAGTGCGATGCGTCACAGCATTTGCGCAGTCTATGTGCAGGCGCGGCGTAGCAAACCTACACATCCTCCTGCCAGCATGGCATATAGCATGAAATCCTCATACCCCTTCCTTCCAAACCCAACTCATTCTCCACATTCGGCCCTCCTGATCGCCGCGACTCTCTGATTGTGTCCCTCGGTTCTATGCTCAACTCATATCATTTAGCTTGTGTGCCCCTCGGTTCGTGATTCGTCCTCTGAGCTAGCGTGTCCCTTCGACGGAATAATATCTCTACTGCGAGTTGCAAGCACCAGCTATAAAGTAAGAGCCAGTGTCATGTGCCCCAGGGTGGGAAGATGCCAGCGTGCGCGTTCTGACATAATGTATGACTGCCCAGGCGACACACGATGCTCAATACATGTACTGCTGAAGCAGAATTCTTACGCGGGGAGAGACTGACTCGGAACGTCTCTCTGTATTTCAGATTCTCGTGTTACGCCATCTCCACTGCATCAGTCCAAGCTTCATCGAAACATCGGAGACATATAGTCTACATTGAGTAGCTGCCCGACTGAAAGGCAAATATTCCTCGCCCGTCATAGGAGTGGCTGTTCAATCCACCTGGTAAACAATGCAAGTCTCCTGCGAAGGGGCCATCTTTGAATTCTCTTCGCGAGAATGTGGGGTCCGCGGTAAGACGCGGTCCCGTCGGGGTCGTGGCTTCTGGGTCCTACTTGCCGCGAGGCGCGCCCATCCGAGCACTTAGAATTAATGGCTCCTCGCCCAACACAAATATCCCCTCGATTGGCCCGAAAAGGTGATCTTCTGGGCTGCCTTGGCCGCTACGGAACGCCAGTCCATGTACAGACGGTAAGCGTTCTACCATGTGGATGACAGGAGCGACGCTGCGACCCAGGCCTGTGCATGTTCTTTGCTCGACGCAGTGGGGCACAGCTCCCCAGAGGGAAGGTGTCTGGTGCTGCGGCCCCTGTGGCGCGCAGTGCTGGTGTTGGGACGAACATCGTCAGATGAGGTGTCAGAGTCTCGCCAGGGCAGGCATCGGAGGTTCGTCCAGGCCGTGGATCGCAGGACGCGCCTGGTGTAAAGGATGCGGCACGCTCCTGCCTTGATGGCGCCGGCCGCGGTCTCTGTCAGCGTGTGAGCTGTTCAACCCAGAACGATCTCCGTCGACGGGGGGTCCGCACCTAGAGCACCCGTGCCCGCGCTGCCGCCACGCCGATATGGGCCGACCGTGCAGTGGATGGCGGCATCCAAGTGGAATGAGTCGAGACCGTGGGGAGGCCAGACGTTGTGCAGATCCCCCGCCCACGGAACCGATGCCCCAGGACCCAGGGCGGCGGTGAATATGGACATCTGCTGGCCCTTGCTGGGACCGAAGGTATTCGCATCCACCACCTCATGGATTCGGAAGTTGTTGGATGGGCGCGCGCCGCTACAGATAGGAGCAGAAACACAAGGGCCGCCCAGTGGCCTAGCCCCTCGCCTTCCCAACAAGACTCCTTAACCAGCGCCTCGCCGCTCCGGCAGTTTCGAGGGTCTCTAGGGGGAAAACAAACCTACCTCGCTTTTGACCACCCTCGCTTCCAAGAGATACCAAGCGATGCCAAACTACGGCCTGTACTGGTCAGGTCGCTTGACGAGGAGGCGCGTGGTATGACTTGGCTTTCCCTGGAAGCGAAAGCGGGGTAGGGAATTCACGCTCTGAGTCTCCTCCTCCTCGTCATCGTTTATCGTCCTCCCCCTTCTGCCCTCACGCTCTTCCTCTCTCCTCTGTCCTCACGCTGTAACTGTCGGCCTCCACGCCTGTCGTGCAAGGTTCTTGCTGGAAACATCCGAAGGCCGACAGCAGGCCGGCGTTCTCCACGTCGAATGCTGACTCCGCCTGCTTCCAAAAATGACAGAAATACGGAATCACCATGCCCTCTCGACATATGCCAACTGATGCTGGCAGAACGCGCCAGGCAAATCCAGAGTCCCACTGCCCCCCCCCCCCCCCCAAACGTTCGCTTTCCCCTCCGCCTCCCTGGGATGACGCAGGTGGCAGCCCCGTGGCCTCACCTGCTGGAGATGCCCTGGAGCTTCTGGACCTGCTCCGACACCGAGATGTCGGCGATGGCGGACGTGCGTGACACAGAGCACTCTGCATGCTCGCGAGCCTGAGGAGAATATCCGGACGGAGAAACCTCGTCGCCTTAGAGAGCCGCAAACTATGAGCCAGCCCTGACCCCGTTCGAGTCAGGGTTCGAGGCTCACAGCCCCATGTCTTCAAATCGATTTCGCGCCTCGGGCCCGAGGGCTGCTTCTGTGGGTTCCATGGGACCGCAGCGGGCTCCGGAAGCACACGGGCAGAGCAAGCCGCAGACGGTCGTCGTGACTCCGACGGACACTGGAGATCTGGGAACGATGAATCGCAACTTCGGGTTTGCTGTGCCCTCGGCGCCTCCCACCCCAGAAAAACCGTCAACTGTCCACTTACTCTGGTACTGGCTAGGCGGCCCATCCTCAGGATGGGTCTGGCCAAAGTCGCTGCAACAGATGCGATGGGAGAACTTGCTATAAGCAAACTGGGGGAACCTTTTTCGCGCCCTCACGCTCTCTGGCAGGTCCCCTGGTCAATCGTGGCAGCAGACACATGCGCTGGGCACCTGCAGACAGGTCAGTGTGTGTGTTTTTTTACGCGCCTGCTTAGAAACACAAAACAATCACATGAAGAAAATCCCTGGGGCGGAGGAGGAGGCGGAGGAGGACGAAGAGGAGGAGGAGGAGGAGGAGGAGGAGGAGGAGGAGGAGGAGTTTACGCGCCTGCTTAGAACATAACATTTCAGAGGTCCGCGCGGATGTCTTCCCCTGGCGAGGCGCGTTCGTGGCGGCGGCGGCGCCGCCAGGGGGGGCCCAGCGAAGACCCAAGAAATCCGTGCGGACCTCCTAGAGCCTAGGTGTTCGCGTGCACCATGACAAACGGAAAGAACCACCTATCGAACACGTACCCGGCCAACCCTCGAGCTAACCATGGTGAGGGCAGCTCTTTCGATGAGACGCATTCGTAGTTGCTGGGTGCGGTAAGTGGTTGGCATCTCCCGGCGAGCCGCACGCGCCAGGATCCCACCACGTGGCCGGTACCGCCATCGCCCCCGTTGGCAGCTGCACCAGAGGCGGCACCGCGGGTGCCGCAACGGCTGACCTGCGGGCCAGAGCCACCTCATTCCGGGCTTCCTCCCCCTCGTCCCCCCCTTCTACCCCTCCTCCTCGGTACGCGTCCCCCTCCTCATCTTCCTCCCCATTGTTCTCTTCCTCTTTGCCCTGGCCTCTTTTCCTCCTTTTCCTCCTCCACCTCCTTGTCCTCGCTCTCGTACTCCGTGTCCTCGCTTAAGGAGAAGATAGAAATAGAAGAGAGAGCATGATCCACCGCCGCTTTACTGTGGAAAATTCCCCCCCCCCTCTTCCTTCGGAACCCAGAGGTCCCCCCCTCCCCCCCCCCCCTCCGAAAATCCCTCCCTGCTCGACCTCCCCCCCCTCCCCTAACCCTCTCCCCACCCCTCCTCCGGAAAACTGGGGGGGTCACTATAGATACCGGTCCGACCCCCCCCCTCCAGAAAACCGGAGGGGGTCACTACCGGTTCGAACCCCCCCCCCCACGCTCACCGCCAGCAAACGACTCCCGGGTCCCTACCACCGTCCGCACCACATCCCCCACTGCTGTCCCCAGCACCACTGTCCTCACCACCACAGCCCCCACTGTTCCCACCACCGTCCCCACTGTCCCCAGCAGTGCCACCACCACTGTCGCACTGTCCCCACTGTCCCCACCACTGTTCCCACCACGGTCCCACTCCCCCCACTTTCCCCACGGCCCCAACCACTGTCCCACTGATCCCACTGTCCCACTGTCCCACTGTCCCCGCCGCTGTCCCACTGAGCTGTCCCACTGTTCCCACCACTGTCCCCACTGTCCCCACCAGTCCCCGCTGTACCTCTGTCCAATTGTCCCACCGACGTCGTCGCCACCGCCCTCACCACTGTCCTCACCACCACTGTACCCTCCACTGTCCCACTGTTTCCACCACATTCTCACTGTCCCCACACCACTGTCCCCACCACCACCGTTCCCACCACTGTCCCACTGTCCTCCCCGCTGTCCCCCACCAGTGCCCCCACCAGTGTCTCATTGTCCCCACTCTCCCCACCATTGTCCCACCACGGTCCCACTCTCCCCACTTTCACCACGGTCCCCACCACTGTCTCACTGTCCCCACTGTACCCACCACTGTCCCACTGTCCCCGCCGCTGTCCAACTGTGCTGTCCCACCGTCCCCACTGTCCCCACCACTGTCCCAGTGTCCCCACTGTCCCCACCACTTTCCCCACTGTACTACTGTCCCACCACTGTCCTCACCACCGCCTTCACCACTGTCCCCACCACTACCGTCCCCACCACTGTCCCACTGTCCCCACCACTGTCCCGCTGTCTCCTCACCACTGTCCCCACCACCACCGTCCCCACCACTGTCCGCACCACTGTCCCACTGTCCCCGCACCACTGTCCCCACCACCACCGTTTCTTCCACTGTCCCAGCATCCCCACCATTGTCCAACTGTCCCGAGGAGCGGGAATCGTTTGCCGGCGGCGAGGGGGGGGGTTCGAACCGGTAGTGACCCCCCCCGATTTTCGAGGTGGGGTGTTCGAACCAGTAGTGACACCCCCCCTTTTCATGATGGACTGGGGGGGGGAGGGTTCGAACCGGTAGTGACCCCCCCCTGGCTTTCGGGGGACGGGTTGGGAACCCCGAGTGACCCCCCCGGTTTTCCGCCAGCATCGGTAGAACACGATCTTTCAAATCCGCCGACCCTGTCGGCGTGTGGAAGACGCATCCCGGTGTCGTCGTCTTGCGTGGATCACCGTCGTCGTCGTCGTCGTCGTCGTCGTCGTCGTCGTCGTCGTCGTCGTCGTCGTCTCCGTCTGTCCGTCGTGTCTCCGTCCCTCGTCGTCTTCGTCGTTCCCCGTCTCCTTGAGCGCGCGAGCCAAAGCGACATTGAGCAACGTCGTAGTTGAGTCGTGGCGAAGCCCCTCCCTACCCTCCCCGCCGGGGGGGGGGGGTCGCCGGGGGGGGTCCCCGGGGGGGGTCGCCACCCAGATACGCATCCTCCCCGGGGGGTCCCGGAGCTCAGAAAAGCTTCAAGACGAGCCAAGAGCGACAGAAGACACCCCCAAAAGGGTACAAGAGGGCCTCGACTCGACGAACGATGGCCCCAAGACGCCCAAGACGGCCCGAAGACGGCCCAAGAGGCCCTCAAGACGCTCCAAGAGAGCCCCAAGAGCACACCCAAGAGGGCCCCAGGCGCCAAAATCGTCAATTTTACATCGGTTTTTGAATGATTTTGGCCTTCTCGCCTTTTCGGCTTTCCGACACTCCAAGACGGCCCAAGAGGCCCCCAAGAGGCCCCCAAGAGCGCCCCAAGAGGCCTACAAGAGGGCCCCAAGACGGCCCAAGAAGGCCCCAGGACAGCCTAAGAGGCGCCCAAGACGGCCCAATAGGGCCCCAAGACGGGCCCAAGAAACGGCCAAGAGGGGGACGAGGAACCGAGAATTCGAGACTTCCGCCCTAAGAGGCCCCCGGGAAGCCCCAAGAGGCCCCCAAAAGGCCCCAAGAGGCCCCCGAGCGGCGCCAAGACGCCCCCAAGATGCGCCGAAGACGGCCTCCGGAAGCCCCAAGAGGCCCAAAAGAGGCCCCAAGAGGCCCCACAACGGCCCCCAAGAGGCTTCAAGTTGCCTTCCAGACGCCCCCGAGAGGTCAACCACGAGATCCCAACCAACATCCATAAGGCCTCCTCCTCCTCCCCCTTCACCCTTCCTCCTCCTACTCCCTTCCGCCTCCTCCTCCTCCTCCTCCTCCTCCTCCTGCCCCCCCCCTCGTGTTGTCTTTCGTCATCTTCAGGGTCGGCGGCAACGGCCGTAAGGCCTTCGCAATAGAAGAGTAGCAAGGGAGGGTTACGGAAATATACTGCAAGTTCCGAGGAGGCCTCTCAAGAGTCCTCGTAAGTCCATCCTTCCTCCTCCTTGCTGCCCCCGCCCTCGTACCTCCCTCCTCCTTGCCCCTCCTCCACCTCATTCTCCTTCTCCTCCCTCCTCCGACCTCTCTCCTTTTCACTGCTCCACCCACCCCGCCCCAAATGGCCTCCTCCTCTTCCTCCATTATTCTCCCTCCCTCCCTCCCTCCTCCCTTCCCTCCCTCCTTCTCTCTCAGCTCTCAACTGGTGGCGTTAGATCCGTTCAGGAGCTCCCCCACCCCCAGAGGCGGTCGCCCCTGGGGGGATCAAACTGAACATTGCGTACATGTTTCCTTGTAATACACAAAAAAACAAAGCGACCGACAGACCCCCCCCAGGGGAGAGGTTATCTTTGTCTCCCCCCCACACATTCGCCAGGTGGCTACGAAGGGTGCTGCTTCCTTCCCCCCGCCGATGCATTCACCCACCCCTGCTGGTTGGCGGCTGCCGCGTGTCTAGACTCTAGTGGTAGACGAGCGCTACACGTGAGAGGCGTGGTGGCAACGGAGACGTTCGGTGAGCAGCTGTTGGCGGCTGCCGCGTGGCTCCTGTGGTGGCGAACGCCTTCTGGCGAAACTGGATGGCAACACAGAGGGGCCGTTTACGGCGAAGTGCATCTGACTGTACAGTCATCGGCCTGACCTAAGAAACGATCAATAAGGAAGGAAGCCCCTGTTTTGCAAGGAAAAGAGCATAAGGAACGATACATAATAAAAAACGCACAAGGAAGGATACGTAACGCATGCAAGCCTTAAGGAACGACCGAACCCCTTTTGAAAAGTAAGTGTTCCTTACTCAAGCCGCTCACTGTAATGCCGCAGGTTGACGAAGAGGGTCGAATTTGGCAGACGGTTTGGGGGAAGCGGGGGTGGCTCGCGTGCCGCGGGCCGCGGCCACCCAGGCCATCGCTGGAGTGGCCAGCGGTGGTTGATCCCCCCTCCCCGCCCTCACGGACGGCCACTCATCCCGCCCCATAGCCTGGTGAGTATGGGTGGGAGGAAGAGAGGCGGCGGCGGCGTTGCAGGGGCCACGCTCGCCAAGGTGGGATGGCGCAAATCTTCTCCCTTCGGCCATAGGACATCCCCGCAGGACGGCATCCAGTCACCGCCAGGGGATTCTCACCCGCCGAAGCGGTTGGAGGTAATGTGGTTCTCGGCGCCAGTGGTCTGATGCCCGGCGGCGCTGTTCATGGTGATGGCCGCGGCTGCCCTTCTGAGCTTGGTATCGTTTGGGTGGCGTCTCCCAGTCTGACCTCCCGCATGGGCATGACGGTCTCGATGGTTCAGATGATGTTGCCTTTATACTCCTTGTTGACGCCCAGATGCTTGATGTTGGCGGGGAAGTAGTGCTCCTGCTAGGGTTAGTGCTTCCCCTTGCCCTTGCACTTCTTGTCTTTCTGTTGGTCCTTATGGTGCATGTCGTTGTCCTCGGTGTAGTCGTCATCTGGTTTTGGGAAATTGCCCTTGCTCTAGTTGCCGTTGGCACCCATGCACTTGCGGTTGGTGCCCTTGCTCCAGGAAGCGTCGGTGTGTTGGGCTGCCTGCTCATTGGGCCATCCTTTAGTCTTTCTCCCTCCTGTCCAAACCTGCTCCAATCGCTGGTGTCGTGGGCTGGGTCGCTGGTTTGTTGCTCGTCTTTCGGCCCGATGTTGGTCACCACAACGTCGCCAGTGTGGGAGTTGGTGGTGGATGTCGCGGAGGTCATTGTGCACTGTGGTGCGCTTCGAATGATTCCTGTGCAGTGTGCGAGCTGGTGCTGCGTGCGCTGGTCGAGCAGTGTGCGAGCTGATGCGGCTCGTAGTAGTACGCGTGCTGCTGCTCGTCGCTCTCGTTCCCGTCGATGCCACGCTGGGTTGGCAGATGACGGAGACGTGGTGGTGCTAACGTCACATGTGTGATGGATGATGGCGTCACCTGAGGGGGGGAGCAAGAAGTAGCCGAAACATAATGTAATGCGTAAGGGTGAAAAGGGGGTGTAAATGTGGAATTTGGAGCTTCGAACTCTCGATTCGAGGCTGGCCTCCTGAGGGCTTGCGCACCTGCCACGGTATTGGTCAACTGTGGCTTTCCTCCTCCTCCTCCTCCTCCTTCTCCTTCTCGTCCCTCCCTCCCTCCCTCCACCTGCCGACTGCCTGTGGATGGGGGACATGCCCATGAAAAGCTGCGCCTCGCCCGCATCGTCTCCGGGCGGGCAGTGCAGCTCCTAGCGCAGGGAGGACACCCGACCCCCCAGTCGCTCACAAAGAGGCGCGCCTTACCTCCGCCCCCTCCTCCCCTCCCTTGGGACGCACAGAGACATACTAGTACTATATGCTCTCCTGGGAGGCGTGCGTCCGACCCACACATATAGTATACCCATCTTGTAGTATATCGTTTCCCGAGCGGTGTGGCCCGAAAGCGCCCGCCACGACGCATATACTGTAAGATTTCTCGGTGCGCGCACCGCCCCCGGGGGGGCGACGCACATATAGTAGAAGTATGCTGGGATGACGCCGAGATCCCTCCCTCCGCTCCGGCCGCTTCCTCCACCGGGTGTTGCTGGAGGTGGCCCTGGCCCAAGGCGGCCCCAGGCTTTCCGCGGAGGCCCGCGGTGGCCTCCAGAGCACCCCATCGCGGGGCCCAGAGGGCCCAATGGGGCCCAGGAAGCGGCTCGGCCAGGGGGGAGGGTCGCCCTGGGCCGGGACCACCTCTGGCAGCCTCCGACTCCGCCCCGGGCCTCTGCTCCCTTCCTCCCCCCCGCTTAGGAGCCTCCTAGATGGGGTCCGAGCAGATGGGGTCGGAGGATCGCGCCGCATCGCCGATACATCGGCGATACATCGCCGATGCATCGCCACTGCATCGGCGACATCGGCGATGCATCGGGGACGCCAACGTGGATAAAATCAGGATCCGCATCGAGCCGCATCGCCGATGCATCGACGATGCGGCGCGATCCTCCGACCCCATCTACTCGAACCCCATCTAGGAGGTCTAGACCACTGCCTCCCTGCCTCCGCTCCATCCCTTCCTCCTCCGCGCCCTCCATGCCCTGGCTCCCTGCCCCCCGCCTCCGATCCCTCCCCCCAGATCTGGCCATCGCTCGGACGTCCACTCCTTCTGTTTCTTTCGGTTTCGTGCGTGGTTTTCTCGCCAAACGATCAAGGATGCTCCTCGATGGCCCTCGCCGAAGGAAACATGCACACGTCCGAGCGATGCCAAGGCCCTGGCTCCCTGCCCCCCCGCCTCTGATCCCTCCCCCCCCCCCTCCTCCTCCTCCTCCTCCTCCTCCTCCTCCTCCTCCTCCTCCTCCTCCTCCTCCTCCTCCTCCTCCTCCTCCTCCTCCTCCTCCTCCTGGCCTCCCTGCCTCCGCTCCCTCCCTGCCTCCTCCACGCCCTCCGTGCCCTGGCTCCCTGCCCCCCGCCTCCGATCCCTCCCCCCAGATGCCCTCGACCTGGGCCCCGCGGGCCGATCGGTGGCTCGGAAAACTCTGGAGAGAGGCCGCCGATCGGCGTGCCTGCGCGTGCCAGCACTCGCCCGCAGGTGGCACGCGCGGGTGCCAGCATCGAGCCAAGCGGGGCGCGACATCCTGAAGGCGCCACATCTGGAGGAAGAGGAGGAGGAGGAGGCGGAGGAGGAGGAGGAGGAGGCGGAGGAGGCGAAGGAGGCGGAGGAGGAGGATCCTGGGCACCGGATCCGTGTCTACGCCCCCATGCGTCCGCGCATAGTTCTCACCCATCCTGGGGCCAGGATGGGCCTCACGCCCTGCCAGGATCGGTGCAAGAGGTGTACACGTGACGCCGCCCCCCGAGAAATACTGCGTCGGCGTCGGTGGCTCTTTATTCCGCTCCTTCTCTCTTTGTTGAGCCTCGGCCCCGTGTCGGGAGACGGCTGTGCGAAGAGCGCCGCCCATGAAGGTGGGCTTGGTCTGCACCGCACGCCCGTGCGCGCCGATAGGCAGAGCCATCCTGGCTGCCGACGTGGTGGAATCTGCCCCCCCCCCCCCCCCCGCATTCTCCACACTCTCCCTCCCTTCCTTCCCAGCATGACGCTCCCTCTCACGCGACGAGGGGCCTTCCTTCCCGACTCCTTCTCCGCCTCCCAGCGCCTCAATCCTGTTCTCTTTCGCGACCCCCCTCCAATTCCACAGGCATGCCTCCCTCTCTCCTACCTCCCCGAGGCCCTCGGAGACAAGAGAGGACAGAGGAACAGGAGGGGAGGGGGGGTGCAGATGGGGATGGGGAGGGATGCACGTGGGAAGGGCAGAGAAGCGAACGGGGCAGGGGAGGTCGGGGAAATAGATGGTACGGGGAGCGCGAGGCACGTACATGTGATGGGCGAGGGGAACGTGAGGGAGAGGCGGTGGGGTGGGGGGGGGAAGCTGGCAAGGCCATCGGAGGCAAGGCAGCGAGATGGCATGGGGAGGCGGGGGGAGGGAGCCCGGAAGGACAGAGAGGGGAGGCGGCAAAGAGAGAGAGAGAGAGAGAGAGAGAAAATAACGCGGGGAGGCAGATGGGGAGCGGCAGGGGCGTGGACCGAGTTACGGGGCATCTCGTCAGGCAAGGAGGGGGGGCGGGGGGCTCATCGCCCCCTCCCTCCCCCACTCAACTTCCCATGCACCCCTTTCCTCCGCCGGCGCCCCCAGCGCACTTGCTCAATCTAGATCGGGCCCGACCAAACTTATAATAACATCCCTCCAGCGCAGGAGACCCTCCGACCGCCAAACTGGAGAACATGCGAGGATACCCTCCCCAAGGATGCACAAGAACATCCAACGAACACGAAGAATCTTTAGTTCACCCTCCCCGGACCGACCTCGATCTTATACCACCGTCCGACCGTACTACTGTCCTCTCTCTCTCTCTCTCCCGAAGATGGCCAGGGGAGTCGCCCCCCCCCCCCCCGCGTCCGCATAGTTTTACACAGGATTGCAAAACCGAAACCCATGTGTTTGTCACCACGGTCGTTCTCGGTGCTTCGAAACCGTGCTGCCGCTGCAGTGTGGGCCTCATTTTGGGATCGGCGCTCTGCTCCCATCGTTCCGCATTGCGCTCTCGCCCCAACGCAGACTACTTGTCTGGATCCGGTTCCGAATCCTTCCTCATCGTTGTCGCCCCCCTCTTTTCCTCTTCTCCGCATTCCCCTGGTCCTCCTGCTCCTCCCGCTCCTGCTATTCACAATCCTGCTGCTGCTGTTCGTCCTCGTCCTCTTCCTTCCTGATCCTCCTTTTCCTCCTCCTGCTGATCCGCCACCTCCTCGTATGTACGCAGCTCCCCATGTTCGATCGATGGCGTGTAACACGATGGAGTCTTAGTCGCAGTCCAGGCTCGCTATTCTAAGCCGCTCGAGGCGCAAAGTTCTTATGCCCCAGCGCCTTACCTTGCTTTGGGGCATAAGAACTGATATGGCTGCTGATGTTCCTCTCCGCCACCTCAATTCCGCCGCAGTGGGGCTCGACGTTTCAGCGCTTTCGGTCCCGCGCCCGGTTGCGGCGACGCAAATGGCAGGACGACGACGACGTCGACGATGACGACGACGACGCTGACCACGACGACGACGACGAGAAAATCGAGGGTGGGGACGAGGACGACGGCGCGACGCGACCCGGCCAACCAACCTGACGAACCAGACGAACCAGACGAACCAGACCAGCCAGACCAACCAGACCAATCAGACCAGCCAGACCAAGCATACCAGCCAGAACCGAACGCGCCAGACTAACCGGGCCAACCAACCAAACCAATTAAAGGAAGTAGACGAAGCAGACCAGCCAGACCAAGCAGACCAGGCAGACCAATCAATGAGACCAGACCTGTAGACCAACCGATCAGGCCAGACAGACCAGACCAGACCAGCCAGACCAAACAGACCAGCCAGACAAGACCAGCTAGACCAGCTACACCAGCCAGACCAACCCCAACCAGACCAGCTTGACGGGCCGGACCAGCCAGACCAACCAACCAGACCAACAAGACCAGACCAGCCAGACTAACCAGACCAACCAAACGAAGCAGACCAGCCAGACCAACCAGACCAACCACACCAGCTAGACTAAGCAGACAGCAGAACAAGTAGACCAAGCAACCAGACCAGCTTGGCCAGTCGATCCGGTCAGGCAGACCAAACCAGACCAGACCAGCCAGACCAACCAGTCCATCCAGAGCAGACCAGACCAGCCAGACCAGCCAGACCAATCAACCAGACCAGACCACCCAGACGAACCCGACCAGCCAGACCAACGCGACAGACCAACCAGACCAACGAGACCAGCCAGAGCAGACCAGACAAGACCAACCAGACCAACGAGACCAACGAGAAAAAACATACCAGCCAGACCAAGCAGACCAGCTTGACCAGTCGATCCGGTCAGGCAGACCAAACCAGACCAGACCAGCCAGACCAACCAGTCCATCCAGAGCAGACCAGACCAGACCGGCTTAGAGTCGGAGTCGTTGGCGCTGCCTCCCTGGACCTCCCCTAAACCACTCTCGCCTGAACTCTAAGCTAAAGCCTCAGCACCAGGCTCAGAGCAGACCAACCAGACCAGCCAGACCAGATGCAAAAAAAACTGCAATGCAAAAAAAACTGCAATGCAAAAAAAACTGCTTTTCGGTCGTCGTCGTTGAAGATGCATCCCTGGACCTCCCCTAAACCACTCTCGCCCGAATCCTAAGCTAAAGCTTCAGCACAAGGCTCCAACCAGACCAGCCAGACCAGATGCAAAAAAAACTGCAATGCAAAAAAAACTGCAATGCAAAAAAAACTGCTTTTCGGTCGTCGTCGTTGAAGATGCATCCCTGGACCTCCCCTAAACCACTCTCGCCCGAATCCTAAGCTAAAGCTTCAGCACAAGGCTCCAACCAGACCAGCCAGACCAGATGCAAAAAAAACTGCAATGCAAAAAAAACTGCAATTCGGTCGTCGTCGTTGAAAATGCATTCCGGGACCTCCCCTAAACCACTCTCGCTTGAATCCTAAGCTAAAGCTTTAGCTAAAGCTTCAGCACCAGGCTCAAACCAGACCAGCCCGACAACTCCGACCAGATACAACTCCGACCAGCTTGTTCTTTGGAAGCTTGGCGTCCCGCCGTGCGCTACACGGCTAAGAACTTTATAACACGCGTCCGAGGATAGGGAAACATCAACGCAATGTAAAGGGATGGGCGGAAGGGGTAGGATGTCAGAAATGGCGCGAACGCACCTAGCTTGACTGCTCCCATCTCCCCTCCCCCCCTCCTCCTCCCCTCCTCCTCCTCCTACTCCTGCCCCCCCTCCTGCTCCTCCTCCTCCTCCTCCTCTTCTTCTCCGTCTTAGTATTCTTCGTATCATGATTATTAGGATGATGATTATTATTATGCATATTGTTATTTTTTTTTTCCTCCTCCTCCTCCTCCTTGTCCTCCTCCTCCTCCTCGTCCTCCTCCTCGTCCCCCTCCTCCTCCTCCTCCTCTTCCTCCTCCTCCTCCTCCTCCGCCTCCTCCTCTCCCCGCTCTCCTTTCCTCCCCTCCCCCTCGGCGGTCATCTTTGAGAGCATGGTGGAAGGGGCGCTGTATTCCGAGCTCGTCTCTTACCCGCTTGGAGAGACGGAATTACAGAAGCTTGAAGGAGTTCAAGCTGCTCTTGCACGGCGAGCTTTGCAAGGTAAAGGGTGTCTGAAGATTGCAGCGACTGAGCACACCAGGAAAAGATACAGTGCGCTTACCAATGCGCAAGTCAGAGACCTGCTCAAGCTTCGGACACCCTTCAGTACATTGCGTGCGTGGAGAGTCCAGTGGTGGCAGCAAGTGGTGCGTTCACCTGAAAGGCACACGCTGGTGCTGGCCTCATTGTTCGGCCACTCTACCTGGGATCAGAGCTGCCTTTGCGATAGACAAGGCAACGCTCTGGCGCCGTCTGGCATCAGTGCGGTGCATCCTTGGTGGAGCCAAGTACTGCTGGATCTGTCTGTCTGCATCACCGAGCTAGGCATGCCCGAAGTACGCCCTGTGCTGCTACGCAGACCTGTTGCTCTTTTTTGCGACGCTGCCGTCAGGAGTGCGTTCCTTGAGGTCAAAGTTTCCCAGCTCAAGAGGATCTCTGGTGGGCCCCGTACCTTTCAGGAGATCTACAAGGATTTCAAGGAGGAAGTGGAGGAGGTGTGCCAGCAGGACGGTGGTGGAGGTATGGAGGAGAGAGGTGAGTTGGGCCCCTTGGACGCTCCTCCTGGTCTCGCGCAGCCCACTGCAGCCCCAGCACCACACGCGTGCGACATCGAGGGCTGCGGCATGGCCTTCGACACCCGAAGGCAGCTCTTGCTTCACCAGGCCAACTCGAAAGCGGCTGGCCATGGAAAAAGGTACTCGCTAAGGTCCTCACGATATCGAACAAGTGTATTAAATGCGACAACTTCTACACTACACGTCGGTACGCGTCTGATCACCTAGCCGTTAGCCTCGCTCGTGGTCAATGCCCTAAATATCGTGGTTCTGTGACGGTGCACGCTCATGTGGTTCCTCCCCCCTACAAGTGCGAGATCTGCGACGTTGAGTTTCAAACATATGCAACAGCAAGGGCACATATGCTTACCCATCTTCATTGACATTCGCAACCTAATTAGAAGTACTGTGGCGTGCGTGGTGTTGTGGCTCAGTGTGCATACCGTTATCTGCGCCCTCGCGGGTGCCCCCCTTCTCCCAGAAGGGCACGACCGCTGCCGACTCCCAGTGCTGCTGTTTCTCGTTCCTTTCGTGGCAATGTCGGCGTGGACGGAGCAGTTCGGTGCAGCTGGCGTTCCTGGAGATGCGTCTGCACAGCCTGCGGGAAGAGGGGTCAAATACATGAAGGTCGAATGCACAGAGGAGAAGGCCAAGTCGAACCTAGCGTTGAAGCTCGGCGTCATTGCGAATCAAAAAGTCAGGTTGTTAGAGGCAGCTTGCACTGTGCAGATCGAGATCCCAGTCGACGGCACCCTGTGCGTTGCTCTCCTCCGTGCCCATAATGAAGAATACCTGCCGCGTGTGCGCGGCAAGGCTGGCCATGGCTTGGGGCCGCCCGACTCTTCCTTTGCACGGCGGCCTGCCTGACGCTGGTGGAGACGACTACCGCCGAGTTCAAGACGGACGTTCAGGAGTACCTTGCTAAGTACAAGCCTGGCAGTGTCGAGGCGCAGCACATGGTCGGCCTGTTCAGGATGGAGAAGATGTTCGACAGCAAAAAGAGGCGCCTCATCATCGCGATGAAGAACGAGCGGTGGGAGAAGGTGTTGCTGAGTGCCATTGAGGAGCACTGCAAGAAAAGGGCCTTTGCAGGCCCACGCCCGCCTGGGCACCTGGAGCTGGAGGGCCAGAAGGTGCTGGAGGCTGGCCTGTAGTGAATCGGCCTCATGTGCTGGAGTGAGGTCGCCTGAGATGGCCGCAGTGCTGTGTGCGCAACTTTTTAGGCCCGCGCCGCAAGCGCCGCAAGCTACTTCTGTTCGAGGCCCGCCATTTAGTGGCCTCTGCATGCGTGAACGACGGTCCCTCCTGCTGTCGTCCTTCGTCCCTCCCCGCTCCTCTCGCCTTCCCCGCTCGTTCGGGCCGTTGGCCTCTCCTCCCCCCTCCTGGGGCCGTCCCCTGCTGGGTGTTGGTGAAGGGCCCTCGCGTGTCGCCCGCTTGCGGGCGCTACGCAGGGGCTCCTCGCCTCTCGCGGCTTATTACTGCGCCAGCTCCCTCCTGGTTCTTCCGCTCGTTGCTGCCTGCTGGTGGACCGCGAATTGGCCGATGATCGTGCCACGCTGTCTGATGGCAAGGGCCGCGCACGGGCATTGCCCGAAAGGGCCTGCCGTTCGTGCCCCACGTCGAGAGTGGTGCCGAGCAGTTTGTTTGAGGGGGTTTCCCCATTTCACTCCCTGGTTCGACCCCCGCCCCGAACCCTTGTGGAGCGCCGCCGCCGCCGCCGCCTCCTCCTCCTCCTCCTCCTCCTCCTCCTCCTCCTCCTCCTAGTCTCTGATCCCCGTGTTCTCCCTGCAGCAGGCATAGGCCCATCCTCTTCCTCCCCCACTGACCACTCGTCCGGCTCTCCTGGCTCATCTTCGTGTCACTCTTTAAAATCTCCCCCTCCATGCCTCCCCTACTTGTCCCTGCTCCCTCCCTTCAAGTTCCCCTCCCTCCCCCTCGTCTTCCCCTCCTCTCCACCTCCTCCTCTCCGACTCCCTCCTCCTCCTCCTCCTCCTCCTCCTCCTCCTCCTCCTCCTCCTCCTCCTCCTTTTCTTCCTCCACAATTACTCAATATGAAAATACTCTCCCTCTTCCCCTGATGGCGTCCGGGTGATGGCCGCGCACCCTCCGCGTACTGTTTTTTAACACACAGGATTCCCGGGAAATCCCGGGAAACGACTCTCGCTGAGGCGCCGGCGTCATTTTTTCCCCAAAATGCTGCTCTCGTTGAGGCGCCGGCCTCATTTCTGCTCCCGAATCGTTCCGAATCGTGCTCCCGCTGCAGCGTGGGCCTCATTTTCGGATCGGTGTTTGGCCTCCGTCGTTCAGGATGGCGTTCTCGCCCCAGCGCGGGCCTTTTTCTCGCGCGCCCATCCGCCCGCCACCACCGCGCCGCACCGCACCACCACCACCACCACCAACACCACACCACCACCACTACAAGCACCACCACACCAGCACCAGTACCAACACCACCACCACCAGCAGCACCACCACCACCACCAGCCCACCACCACCACCACCACCACCACCACCACCACCTACCACCACCACCTCCACCACCACCACTACCACCACGACAACCACGCACACACGCACGCACGCACGCACGTGCACCACCACCCACTACGCACGCGCGCGCGGAGCCACAGGTCCGCTACGACACGCGTCCGCGGATAGAGAAAATCAGCGCCATGGTAAGGGATGGGTGGGAGGGGTAGGACGTCAGATATGACGCGAGCGCACCTAGCTTGTCCCCCCCCCCTCTCCCTCTCCTGCACCTGGTAAGTGTGTATATAGGCATAAACCGAGAAACAGAGAAAGAGACAGACACAAAGAAATACAGGCAGAGAGAGAGAGAGAGAAAGAGAGGGAGAGAGAGATTCGATCCTGCTCTTCCAACTCCCACCTTCTCCTACTTTTCCTCCTCGTTCTCCTCCTCCTCCTCCTCCTCCTCCTCCTCCTCCCTCCTCCTCCCTCCTCCTCCTCCTCCTCTCCTCCTCCTCCTCCTCCTCCTCCTCCTCCTCCTCCTCTCCTCCTCCCCTCCTCCTCCTCTCCTCCTCCTCCTCCTCCTCCTCCTCCTCCCCTCCTCCTCCTCCTCCTCCTCCTCCCCCCGCTCTCCTTTCCTCCCCTCCCCCTCTCCTCCCCGCCCCCTCTCCTCCACCTTCTACATTAGGCAGCGCGCCCGGGGGGAAAGTGAAGAAGAGCGGGTCTTCTCAGAAGGCTCCGAAGTCCCGCCGCCGTCTGAGAAGTTGTCTAAGCCTTCCCCGAAGACATAAGAAACCTCTTAGGAGGCTGGGAGTCTACTGAGAAGTCCTGCCGCCGACTGAGAAGTTCTCTAAGCCTTCCCCGAACACACAGGAAACCTCTCAGAAGGCCGGGCGGCTTCTGAGAAATCCCGCCGCCTTCTGAAAAATTGTTTCAGCCCTCCCCGAAGACACAGGAAACCTCTCAGAAGGCCGGGCGGCTTCTGAGAGGTCCCGCCGCCTTATGAGAAAGGCTTATTATTCTTCTTCCCACCTCCCCTCCTCGCTCAGAGCCGATACATCGGCTCCTGTTCCTCCTCCCGTGCCCGCTTGCCCTTGCCCCTCCCAGCTCCCTCGCGGCGCGCTCGGACGTCCAGGTGTGGCTTCCACTCTCCTCCTCGTCCTCGTCGTCCTCCTCCTCCTCCACCTCCTCCACCTCCACCTCCTCCTCCTCCTCCTCCTCCTCCTCCTCCTCCTCCTCCTCCTCGTCTGGTGACTCGTCCTCCTCCCCTGGCGACGCCTCCTCCCCTGGCGGGGCCTCCTCCTCCTCCTCTTCCTCCTCCTCCTCCTCCTCCTCCTCCTCCTCCTCCTCCTCTGGCGACGACGACGACGACGAGGACGAGGACGAGGACGGCGGCGGCGGCGGCAGCGACGACGACGACAACGACGACGGACCACTCTAACGAGGACGGCGGCGACGACCTTCGCGCGGCCGGCGGAGGGGGCAAAAGCGTCCTCACACTGCCACGCCGCCCGGTCGGGCAGCCTGGCGCTGGGGCCGGGCTTGTGCGCCTCGCGGGGCGCCATCTTGCTGGGAAGGGGAGCAGGGGGAAGGAGGCGGATGAGGAGGAGGAGGAGGAGGAGGAGGAGAAGGAGGAGGAGGAGGAGGTGGACGAAGTGGAAGGGGTTGAGCGGTACAGCCTAATCCCACCAGCCCTTCTGGGCGTAGGTGGTCTAAGGCGTTTTGTCTTCCATCTGCCCGTCTTCCCCCTCGGGGAAGGGTTTGCCCCTCCCCCTACCCCTTCCCCTGGACCTGGACGGGGGGGGCCGCGAGGAGCTGGAGCGTCCAATATGACCCAATATGGCTCCAAGATGGTATCTGAAAGCCCAGGATAACCTCCAAGGTGGTTCAAGATGGACCAAGATGGCTCCATATGGTTTCCAAAATGCTCCAATAGGCCCCAAGACAACCTCAAAACGGCTCCAAGTACCCACGGAGTCTCCAAAAGGAGGCCGCCAAGATGCACAAATCCTTCAACAACCAAGCAAACATCAATGTTCGTTTGCTTTCTCGCCATATCGCTTCCGATGGCCATCCGAGGCCTCAACCTTGCTCCAAGATGGCACAATGGGGGCCCCAAGAGGGGCCCAAGAGAGCCCCAAGATGGCCCCAAGAGCGCCCCAAGAAAGCTTTAAGAAGGGCCCGGGAGGCGTTTTAGGCATTCTAGCGAAGCGGCGCCAATTTTCGTCCCCGTCTTCTTTGATCCATGTCCTCCAAGATGGCTGCAAGAGCGTCCCAACAGCTTCCAAGAACGCCCCAAGAGGCGCCAGGGAGGCCCCCAAAGGCTTTCAAGAGGCTCCAAAGAGACCCCCACGAGGACCCAAGAATCTCCCCGAGGTATGTTAGAGGCCCCCAAGAGACACCCAAGAGGCTCCCCGAGGCACCCGGAACGCTGCAAGAGGCCCCCAAGACGCAAGCGAGGCCAGAAAGAGCCCCAAGACAGCCCTAAGAACGCCCAAGAGTGTCCCAAGAGCGTGGACTCTTCATCTGCGTGCTACCCACTTCCCTTCGCGAGGCAACTTCTTTGGGCATCGTCTCTGGGTGGGCTCGTGGGGATACTTTGTAGATCGCGAGCGCAAGCGGTAGGGCCGCGCGCCGTCCAAAGCTACAGCTAACCAGCAGGAGCCTAAATTGCACACACGATAGAGAGAGAGAGAGAGAGAGAGAAAGGAGAGAAGAGAGACGAAAGCCAGGTGGGGATACTTTTTAGTCAGCGGCCGCAGGCGAGCGCGCCAGCGGCGAGTCCAATCAGAGCGGGGCGCGCAAAGACGAATTGACCTAAAGCGGTGGGCCGGAGCCTCACGCAGCACCTCAGCGGCGGGCCGGCGAGTGGAAAGGGCTGGCGGTAGACTGAATAACAGTACTGCCAGGGTGCACGTATGCAACGCGTCGGAAGCTGCAGGCAGCCTGGGGGACCGGCGTCCAGGGACAGCAGCAGACGTGGAATTAGATGCAAGGGCGCAAGCCGCCGGACTACTACGAAGGTACCAGGGTGGCCGCAGCCAAGTGCACCGACTGTCGGAGGTCGAATTGGGTGCCCAGAGGGGGCGTGAGCATCGGCAGGCTGCGAAGTACCAGGGTGGCCAGAGCCAGGAGGTTCAACAACCTGGTGGGGATATTTTTTTTTGGTCGCGGCCGCAAGCGAAGAGGCAGGCGGCGGGTAAGGAGTCCGGGCAAACGGGCAAGCCGAATTAGCTACAGAAGGCACTAGCCGGCCGCCTGGTGGGGGTACGCGAAAGGTCAACAATTTCTCAAGTCCGCATAACGGTAAGAAAGGTGGAGGAGGTCCCTTTGCGCCCTGTCAGGGTAGTCCTCTTACCAGCCCAACCCAGCCCCTTCCCTCCCAGATCTTCTGCTCGGCAGAGGCAGGCCTCGGGGGGTGGGCGGAGCGACATCTCTCACCCGAGGGGGATAGAACTCGATAGGGCTACTCTAGAAACCGACTGCACTGCAGAGAGGGAAGCGCACGTCATTGTTTCACGGGGCTGCCGAAGAGCTCCACCCCGCAACGCTGAAAGGACGACGAAGTTGTATAACAGCAGCCGTGTGGTGTGCGGGGGCAACGGAGGAGGTGGGGACGAGGCAGCAGGACGGGGGGGGAGGGGACGGGAGGGGAAGGGATGATGGTTCGCCAAAAGGACATACGCAGAGCATCGAAACGTCGAGGGGCGCGGGCCACGCCGCAAGGTCGGTGGGCATCAGGGGCCTCTGCAGCGGCTTCGCGGGCCACCCCTATACAGTCTCAGTCTTTGTGCGCTGCCACAACGAGGTGCCGAACAAGGAACGGAAGAGGTTGTCTGGCCACGCCACTGGCTCCCCGACCTGGACTTGAGGGGCGGCCCGAAAACCACAGCCCATCCTGAGCCCAAGGCGATCCATAGTTCAGTGGGTGCTCCCAGGCGTGCGTGTGCGCACGGGTGTCTGTGCCCGCTTGCGCGTGCCTGGCAACAACTGGCAACACTGTTCATTGGTGGAGCTGTCGTCTGCCTCGTGACGCTTCCGAGAAGTCCATGCGCGACGCAACATTTCCATACCTACAGTGCTCACCTGACCTTAGGAGCGGCCCAAACATGATCGACCCACGAACCCGGAAAGGAATATAGACATGTAACGCATGGCAACGTGTTCAAAGACACCTGATTGGGTGACGGGCAAGTGCAATGCTGATTGTATCGATCTTGATGTACCGTGCCGAGGGCAGTGCTGTGCTGCACCGTGCTGAATTGCGATGTGCCATGCCGCGGTTGTGCTCTATAGCGTCGTGAATCGAGTCTTCCTTTGCATCCGAGTCATGACCGAACTGATCTGGATCTTATGCTCGAGCTGCCTGAACACATAGTAGCTGCCCCAGAGCTAATTGACAAGGGGACATGCCAGGAGGACGCGCCGCGAAACGTCCCAAGGGACGCGCCAGGCGACGTGCCAAGGGACGTGCCATGGGGTCGCACCGTAGGACGTGCCAAGGGAACGCGCTACGGAACGTGCCAACGGATGTGCCACGGAATGTGCCAGGGGGCGCGCCACGCGACGTGCCAGGGGGACTCGCCAAGGGACGCCCCACGGAACGTGCCAAGGAACGTGCCAAGTTGCAAGTCTGATTGTATCGATCTTGATGTACCGTGCCGAAGTCTGTGCTGTGCTGCACCGTGCTGAATTGTGATGTGCCATGCCGCGGTTGTGCTCTATTGCGTCGTGGATCGAGTCCTCCTTTGCATCCGAATCCTGACCGAACTGATCTGGATCTTAAGCTCGAGCTGCCTGAACACATATTAGCTGCCCCAGAGCTAATTGACAGGGGGACATGCCAGGAGGACGCGCCGCGGAACGTCTCAAAGGACGCGCCAGGCGACATGCCAGGGGACGTGCCATGGGCACGCACCGTGGGACGTGCCAATGGGACGCGCTACGGAACGTGCTGGGGACAAGCGTTTCGCTCGAGACATCCTGTCAACACCCTCATTATAGACATCCGCCTGAGCGACCTGGACACGTGAAAACAAACGTTTCGCTCAACACATCCTTAACACATTCTCATGCTAGACATCCGCCTGGGCGAACTGGACACGTGAAAACAAGTAGTTCGCTCGAGACATCCTCAACACATCTTCATGTGAAACGTCCGCCTGGGTGACCTGGGCACGTGAAAACAAGCGTTTCGCTCGAGACGTTTTCAACACCTCCTCATTCTGGACATCCGCCTTGGCGACCTGTACACGTGAAAGCAAACGTCTCGCTCGAGACATCCTCAACACATCTTCATGTTAGACATCCGCCTGGGCGACCTGGACACGTGAAAACAAGCGTATCTCTCGAGACATTCTCAACACATCCTCATGCTAGTCATCCGCCTGGGCAACCTGGACACGTGCAAACAAATAAAAAAAAAAAAAATAAAAAGAGAAACAAAAAAAAGAGGAAAAACAAAAAAAAAAAAAAACAAAAAAACCCAAAACTAAAAAAGAAAACAAAGGCAAAAAAAATGAACACAAGAAAACCAAAAATCAAAAAAAGAAACAACAAACAACAATAAGATAAAACAAAAAAAACAAAAAAAAAATAACACAAAAAAAAAAAAAGAAAAGAAAAAAAAGAAACGAAGAAAAAACAAAAACGACATCTCGATCGAGACTTCCTCAACAGATGCTCATTCTAGACATCCGCCTGGGCGACGAGGACGCGTGAAACCAAGCGTCTCGCTCGAGACATCCTCAACAAATCCTGGCGCTTGACCTCTGCCTGGGCAACCTGGAGGTGTGAGACCAAGCGTCTCGCTCGAGACATCCCCAAGACCTGGGCACGTGAAACCAAGCATTTCATTTGAGAGATCCTCAGAATTCAGGTCCCCAGGAGAGGACACTCTATAACACAAAACAAGCGTTTCGCTCGAGACAACCTCAACACATTCTGAAACACAGACGTTTCGCTCGAGACATCCTCAACTTTTTAATTCGCCGGCCCTAGGCGACCTCGTCATTTCTCGCAAAAGAAATTCGCGGGCCCTACAGCCGTCAAAACCGGGGGTAAACCTACTAAAAGAGAACCCTGGGCATATGCCCTTTCAGGGAAAAAAACAGAGCCCACTTGAGCCCAGAGTAGTCCTCGATTCCGCCCTCGTCTCCCTGGTTCCCTGCCTGCTGTCTCCCCATTGGTTCCTTCCCGCCTGCTCCATCCCGCCTGCTTCGTCCCGCCAGCCCCAGCCTCCCGCCTGCGCGCTCGCCGTCGTCGGCTTACCTCTCGTTCTCTGAATGGGGCCCTGGGACACACACAAATAAATACACACAAATAACAAGATTCCCAATATTTTCCCATATTTTCTGGGTGTTTGGCTTCCCCCTCCCCACTTCCCATACTTTCCCATATTTCCTGGGGCATCGACGCTGAATGGTGTCTGTGTGTGTGTGTTTTCCCCCTCCTGATTCTCTGCCGTCTTGCCCTTTGCCGCGCAGGGCAGGCTGCCGGGAGCGTGGCGGAACGCCACCACGCGGCAGCCTCGACCTCCTCCTCCTCCTCCTCCTCCTCCTCCTCC